CTCTGCTTTCCTGAATGGACCATCTTCATACAGTACCCTAAAGGGTTGCATTGTGCCCTTGTTTATAGTTTTAATAGTGTAATTCTGTAAAGACAAAATATGTCTGGTGGTCCAGCTCTGATTTACATATCTTGCTAAATTGCGGGTTTGGATATTGCAATACTTTCCTGTAACAAAATAGACCTGCAGAAAGTATTTCACATATGCATAGTGTTATGCTCTATATAGAGATTTCCCTTAGCTTTGATTGTACATCTCACAATTTTGTAATTTATCATTGTTTATAAAAATCTGAAAGTTTGTGGCTTTGTTAATATTCTGTCTAGAATGAGGTTAGATGTGCCCCCTTTTTTTGAGCACCTGCCCCTTTAGTGGTCTCTGCGCGGCCCTGCGTTTTACCTGAGTTTCTGTGAGGCCCAGCTTCTGCGCCGTCTTCACCCTCTCCCCTGCGTCCAGGTATTTGTGTTTGCTGAAGATCTTTTCCAGCCTGCTGATCTGCTCCGGAGTGAACTTGGTGCGCACGCGGCGCTGCGGCGCGTCTTTCTCCGCCTCATTCCCTTCATCCACGGACGGAATCTCGGAGGATTCCGCTTCGCTCTCGTACCCGGAGGAATACCCGCTCACTTCAGAAACTCAAGACAGAATAAAAACAGTTACAAATCTGAAACTTTTACCAAAAAACATTACAAAATATTGATTCAGAAGCTTACTTGGCGAGCAAAAGTCTGCTGGATGTAAAGATGAGCCGACGCGGGAGCTCTGCGGTTCTCTGACCTCATCTGACCCTTCCTGCTTAGCGGCCTTTGACGGCTTGGGTTTTGGCTGCAGGTAACCTTTACCAAAAATTGGCGCGCTCGGCTGCACCATGCAGAGGACATGAGGTCTGTGCGCAGGGGAAGCTCTTTGCCCCTCCTTCGCCGCGCCGCCGCCGCTGTGGCTCTGCGCCAACCACTCTACGGAAAAGTATTTCACCATGTCTACGGTGCTGCTGCTCAGTGGTCTGCAAATCCACCAAATGTCACAAGGAAACGTGTTGTGGCCTGCAGCCAAGGTTTTATAGCCACTCGCATCCATTTGCATATGTAGAGTCGCTTGTTAACGCCCGATCGATCCCGATGATTGGGGGATAATGGCTCGTTATTGAAGTCTTTACATATCCTGTGACCGTGTGAAGACCTGGCGCCACCGCGTCTGAATGGCTGGAGTTCCACAGGACAGGATTTAAAGACTCTCACTGAATATAATTATCCTCTCACTGAGCCAGCTGTTCTTGAAAGGTTACAAATTTGGACGTTTACTTTCCACTCATTTTCAAAATGTAATTACTTTTTAAAAAAATCAATGAAATGACAAATAAGATAATTTTGTTGCTGGAGTGAATGATATCATACACATACAGTTTTATTTGTACTTATACTAAAGACACAAGTGTTAATATTTTAAATGTATTTGAAGTCCTGGTGCCAAATGCTGGTTCTTGGGTCGGACAGACAACTGGAAATAAATCAGCAACTAAAGAAATGATTGCAATTTGACTGTGCAAATGTAACATTGATTGCATTTTTAAAAAGCATTGTCTCCATGCTCCAGGTCTCGGGTGGCCTGGGAACACCTTGGGATCCCCCAGCAGAGCTGGTAGAAGTGACTGGGGAGAGGGAAGTCTGGACCTCCCTTCTGAAGCTGCTGCCCCCGCAGAAAATGGATGGAAGAATGGATTATCTCCATGAGGAGTGGCTCAAACATTTTTGATGATTAACTTGACAAATTTTATTAATTTTGTAAATGTTTTGGTTGCATCTGTTTCCTACACATTCTTCAGTCAACTACATACATCTTCTATATTTTTATTTCTCATATGCAGCCCAATGTTGGGGCAGACTTTAAAGTCAAATCCTGTTATGATCTCTGGGACTTTGGTTTGGAGTTTTGACGTGGAGCGTTCTACTCTCTGCTTCCCCGTGTGTTTTGTCAGGGATTTCTCCCATCTCTGCAGTTTCCTCTCTGGACCAAAGTTTTTGAATTTCCTAAGGTAAAAGTTTTTCTTTTCAGCTGCCTGCCTCCTGCCTCCTCCCTGGTGCTTGTTAGTCTTGAGGAGGAACCAGCAGAGGCATCTGTTATTCCTCAGAGGATCCTATGAATCATGTTTGTGGACATAAATGACTGCACCCATGAAGCTTTTAATCTATATGAGCATATAAAGGGAGACTGAGAAATACTGCTGCAAATATCTTGTTTCTCCATTTAATTAATAAAATATAAATTGTGATATGTTGTCTGTTGTATGGAAAGTTTAAAGCAACATAAGATTAGAAGCAAGCTAATTTGAGGAACACTATCTTTGAAATATTCTGAATTTATCTAATATTTAAAATTAATTACATTTCAAAATGAGGGAAATAGCTGACGTAATAACTGTTCAGGTTGCATCAGGGTTTTTTTTCCCTAGTATGACGTAACCTGATGTAATAGTTGTTCAGGTTACATCATACCCACTTAGAAACGTGATTGAAAATTGATCAGAAACAGAATGACACAAGTTGCAGAAAACATTTTTTGTTAAATGTAACAGTTCGTTTTGTCAGTGTATAATCAGTGTTTTCACTTCTTTTTACCACATTCAAGTAAAATTAGGCACTTTTTTGTGTAAAAAATAGAAATAAGAAAAAAGTTTAGTCTTCTGAAATATACGCAAAAGAATCCAATTTGTCGAGTTACTTCAGACTTGTCTTGTCTGGAAAATTCATCCCAGTTTATTTTTAGCGCATTCCCGGTGAAGTTTGTGCAATAAGTGGGAATCAGCCCTCCAGTGGGTTTCTGCATCGACATGCTTCAGTTCCCCTGGGTGTGCGTCGGCGCCAGCTACCCAACCACCAGCGTTTGGCACAGACGCTCCAAACTTTAAAGAGATCAAAGGCATTACAGTAGCAACACAATTACGCTTGATTGTCGCCGCGTTCATGTTCAGAGCCCATGTGAGGCAACTGAAAAAAAGCACTCAGAGCTTCACAAGCTGCAATGATTTAAGCAAACTTTATTTTTTCTCTGACTAATCTGTAAAGCAGAATGAACTCATGTTTTGGATGTGCCAAACAAATCCCAGGACAGTTTTCCATATTTTCTCGGAGCTGTGAAGGATTCCCTGAGTGCCACTGAGCTCAACAGTAAAGCAGATAAGAGGCCAGGTCTGGTTCTCTTTTATCGGCGATCTGCTGTCATCCAGGCAGAAGTCCATTCAGCCTTTTGGCGAACTCTATCTGCCCCGCTTTGAAGGCGGGCTCTGATTCAGTTAGATAACAATAAGAAACAATCCGGGACGCCGCCTGCACACTGGGTCCATTTCCTCAGCTGCGGGTCTGTCCGCAGCGCAGAGGCTTCTCTCATTGTATTCTAATGTTTTCTAACAGGCTGAATCGGTCATGCAGCGGTTCTGTCCAGTGCACAAGTGGACCAAAGCGGAAGAAAATGAACGTGTTTCTTGCCGAACTCTGAACTCCATTAACGACTCTAAAGAAGAGACAGTTTTCCGTTTTGTTTCTTGAAGTCCATGAGACAGAAAACAAGTTATAATACCAAAGTTTATCTTATATTTAAACCCGAACAAAAATTGATCTAATGCTTAAACTCCATTACTGTATTAATTGAAGTTTAATGTTCTCAGATGTAGCTAAGACTTTTAATTATTTTTCCTATTTAATTATAACAAAAGTCTTACTAGCTGCTTAAACATATTTCCAGAAATGTTCAGACTTTAATGCATTTTATGTGGTTAATTTCAACATGACAAAGTGATTAAGACGGCAGCATCTTGCAAAATGCGTCACACTTTCTGAACTTGTTCACATTTACCCAGGGGGAAAAGTTAGGACAATTCCAAGGGACGCCACCAGGAATCTTGGGCCCCATGATAAAAAAATTACATTGGGCTGCGCACTGGTACAACAACCAGAGTCGTTCAAGGAGAAGCTAAGAGACAACGAAGAAGCTCGGGCAGAAGTGTTGAAGATGAAACAGACACTTGTGGCTCTAGAAGCTGAGAATGAGGCTCTTTGTCACCAACTGTAATCCCTGCAAAAATCCCAGGCCTAGAGGAGGGCAAAATATAGTTTAAGAAATCAAAGCCTTTATCACGTCTGATGAGAGCTGAAAAAGACAGGTTCTCTCCTGTTGAGTATGATAAATAATGTACATGTAATTATTATGTGTTACCCCAGTAGAATATATATTAGACTGCCCCAGTCATTGTTGACTCATGGTTGCTTAAACCTTTCCAAGATCAACTGATTTTAGTGACATAGTCGGTGTAAAATATTGAATAAAATGTTGTGCTACATGACTGGCTTTATATTTACTCCTACATTTAACTTTATGACGCGTAAAATTACAAGAGGATCGCCAATATTGTCTCCAAGTGTATTCTGGGTAAAGCTTGTTACCAGCCGTCCGCCAACGTCATCATCAGTCACTTGGCAACAGACGGCAAACTAGCTGGGGCATTTTTGCGGACTAAGTTAACATGAGTGGAGCTCCATGGAGCAGCAAAATGAAAAGGATGGAAAAAAGAGAAGAGAGAAAAGACACAAACTGGACGCATATTTTGTCTTGGAGATTAACCGGACTTTTTTGTTGGCAGCGATTCATTTCCGCCAAAACTGCCAGGCCATCGAAGGAGCCGGGCTAGTTACAGGTATCAACTCTCTTTATTCACAATGTGTGAGTTAACTGTAGACTGACTGTAAATTGTATCAGCCCATAGCTTATATCCCCTCTTTTCTGTCGGTTGTACAGCGGTGAAACAGGGCCGAGATAGCAGTATGGCGTTAAGGTTGTGTTAACGGCGGCGCGCGCATTCCGCGCCGAGTTACAAACATCCAGAGGTGCTTCGACCCGCTGCGCATGCGGGGCGGTTGGCGCGTGCCACTGTTTGTCCACTTCAACGCGCGCTGCGCGTGCTCGGTTCAATGCGTCAACAATAAACCTAGCTTCAGCAGTTGCTAGCTGCTCCAGGCTCTGAGTTGAAATAGATAAATTGTCAAAATGATCCGATCGCTTTCCGTGGTTCTGAACTGATTTGAATTTGTGTTGTTTCATCATTACTGACCAGTAACCTGATGTTTCTGTTGTTTCACTTGGTTTGTTATACTTCATGTCTGATGGATTTCAGAATGACATAGTCGCTCTCTGTGGTGGTGAAACTTGTAAGCTCAGCTTTTGCAGGCATGTCTATGTTGTAAAGTGAAATTATCATGAGCTTACCCGGTCAAAAGCCGGTGAGCGTTTAAAGGCCGGTCTGGCTGCAGTTGATTCCGTGTGCTGTGTTTACAAAAAAATCCCCTCTCTATCTTATAATACATATTACTATACACATATATACAATGTATTTTATTATATGTAATGTAGTATAATGATATTAATACTATATTGATTATATAAAAAATGATACTGATATTAGCTATTAGTAATATTAACAATACTATAGTAATTATAATATAATATTAGCAATAATATAAAGAAGTTTATGATTGTTAACTTGTTTATTATTATTGAAACTTATTTATTATAATAAACAAGTTTCAATTTTACTCCATTCATCCATGATCAAACACAAACAAAATCTTTTTGGACTATGGGAGGAAGCCGGCACGCCCTGAGAGAACCCACACATGCACACAGAGAACATGCAAACTCCATGCAGAAAGAACACAGGCAGGGATTCAAACCCAGGACTTTGTTGCTGCAAGGCAGCAGAGTTACCAACGGTGCCACTGTGCAACCCTGATGTTTTATTTTTGATTTACACCTAAAGATAATTTAGTGAGATCAATTAACCTAACAGTCATAATTTCAGACTGTGACAGGAAGCTGGAGGACCCGGAGAGAACCTACAAATTTTAAATTTTAAAATGTAAATTTTGTCGATGATTATGTTTTATATTCAAACATATAATACAGTGTACAGAAATAACTGGTGAAGCAAACAAGTGTGGAAGTATGAAAAAAGTGACTAAGCAAAGGAGAGCAAATACAAAACAGAATCAGGAGACACATGGTGAGAAGCAAACATCTAAACCATAAATGTTGTTTTGCATTTTGGTTGTGAATGTTTACGTCATTCAACAATTCAGGGCACTCTCTGAGCTTTTCATGGCAGTTTTACCTTCATCAAAAGAGGTGCTTGTTTTGTTTCCTGCCATCTTCTGCCATTTTTTTTTGCCATCATCCTGCCATTTTCCTGCCATCATCTACAATCTTGTCTTTCAATGCTTCTCCCTCCTCTCCAAAACCAACTTTGTT